CAGGACATCAATAGTGGCAGAGCTGTGCAATGGGTGTAAATGGGAACTCTGTGCCTTCTGCTCAATTTTGCTGTGAACTTAATATTGCTCTAAAACTTGGAGATTATTATGGTAAGTGAAATAAGCCAGTTGGAGAAAAACAAATACCATATGATCTCACTTATATGTGGGACCCAATGAATAAAGTAAACTGAAGAACAAAATTGAAACAGGCTTGGATACATGGAACAGAATGACAGCTGTCAGAGGGGAGAGAGTGGGAGGGAACTGGATGGAAGGTGAGGGGGTTAACCAAAGAACATTTATAAGTAACACACGGACACAGACAACAGAGTGCTGATAGCCAGAGGGGAAGCAGTGTGGGGGCTGAGTGGAGGTGGGCAAAGGTGGGGAAAATGGGGACAGTCTTTGCTTTGAGAATGAGTGCACAATGCAGTGTGCACATGATGTTTTATTGAGTTCTATACTTGAAACCTGTAAGGTTTTGTGAACTAGCGTCACCCCAATAAATTCAATAAAAAATTTTCTAAAAAAGAAAAACCAGCCTGGTTCTTCCCAGGAATTGCACTGGCAGGGGGTGCACAGTCCACGTGGAGACAAAGCAAAGGTAAGCAGTGGAATGAGGCTGGAGGGCCCAGCCGGGACTTACCCTGTGGGCAACAAAGTCATTGAGGAGTGTTGCGCAAGGAAGTTAGGTGACTTGTGCTTTAGAATGACCACCGTGGCAGCTATGTGGGTGGTGAACTGTGATGACAGGACATGCATGAGGAACCAATTAGGCAATTACTGGCAGTCTAGGAGTGAAACAGCAAGGTTCTAAACTGAGACAGCAGCAGTGGGACTGAATATGCAACAAGAGTTAGCCAGAGCTTGGTCCAGATCAGAAATACAGGCTGAGAGAAAAGACATGAGCCCTTGGAGGCTGCCGCAGCCATTTTGAGCATGGTGAATTAGAGGTATGTTAGGAGAGAACGGTGGACAAGGGCTCCTGACACTTGCATTTAAGGATTAGAGTTCAGGCAAAGCAGAGTTGAGATCTCCCAGAAAGAGAGAAAGGAGAGCCCAAGGGCAGACTAGGAGAGTCCCCTCTGGCTACCAGCACTCTGTTGTCTGTGTCCGTGTGTTACTTATAAATGTTCTTTGGTTAACCCCCTCGCCTTCCATCCAGTTCCCTCCCACTCTCTCCCCTCTGACAGCTGTCATTTTGTTCCATGTATCCAAGCCTGTTTCAATGTTTCAGAGACAGGCAGAAGGTTCTACAAAGGAGGCAGAAGCAGAAAAGAGAGGTTCAAGGAGGGAGTAGTGAGTCTCACAGAAGCCAAGAAAGGGAGATGTTTTCCACAAGCCAGTGTCAAGTGCTATAGAGGGGCTGAGAAAAATGGGCACTGAAAACAGGCAGCTTTGCATGGACAAACATTTTTAAAATTAAGTCCAGACTTCTTGACTTATAATCCAAATAATAATTTAACAGGATGTGACTTATCAATGAGAACAGTTGAATAAATAATGGCATATCCACACCAAGGACTATTAGCCATTAAAATGAATGAATTAGACCTATGCCAGGTGGTTTGAACTCTGTGAGGTACTGAGTAAGAAGAGCAAGAAACAGTCCCTCTCAGACTACTCCAAAAAAAAAAAAAAAAAATCAAAGAAGAAGGAAGACTCCCAAACTCTTTTTAGGAGGCCAGGATCATCCTAATCCCAAAACCAGATAAAAGATACAACAAAGAAAGTACACTACAGGCCAATATTGCTGATGAACATAGATACTAAAATCCTCAACAAAATATTGGCAAACCACATCCAGCAATACATTAAAAAGATAATACTCCATGATCAAGTGGGATTCATTCCAGGCATGCAAGGATGGTTCAATATTCACAAATCAATAAATGTTATATATCACATAAACAAAAGGAAAGACAAAAATCACATGATCATATCAATAGATGTGGAAGAAGCATTTGACAAAATCCAGCACCCATTTATGATAAAAACACTCAGCAAAGTGGGAGTAGAAGGAGCATACCTCAATGTAATAAAGGCCATATATGAAAAACCTACAGCCAACATCATACTCAACGGGCAAAAACTAAAAGCTTTCCCCCTAAAATCAAGAACAAGACATGGTTGTCCACTTTCACCACTTCTATTCAACACAGTATTGGAAGTCCTAGCCACAGCAATCAGACAAGAAAAAGAAATGAAAGACATCCAAATCGGAAAGGAGTAAGTAAAAGTGTCATTGTTTGAAGATGACATGACAATGTGCATAGAAAACCCTATAGATTCCACCAAAAAACTACTCAACCTAATAAGTGAATTTGGCAAAACAGCAGGATACAAAGTCAATATTCAGAAATTCAAGGCATTTTTGTACAATGAAATATCAGAATCAGCAATCAGGAAAAAAAATCCCATTCGCTATAGCAACAAGAAAAATAAAGTACCTAGGAATAAACTTAACCAAGGAGGTAAAAGACCTGTACTCAGAAAACTACACAACACTGATGAAAGAAGTTAAGGAAGACACAAATAAATGGAAGCATATACCATGTTCATGGAGTGGAAGAATTAACATCATCAAAATGTCCATACTGCCCAAAGCAATTTATAGATTTAATACAATCCCTATTAAAATACCAATGACATATTTCACAGATATAAAACAAACATTTAAAAAATTTATATGGAACCATAAACAACCCTGAATAGCTGTAGCAATTTTGAGAAAGAAGAACAAAGTAGGAGAGATCACAATACCTGACATCAAACTGTATTACAAGTCCACTGTAATCAAAGCAGTCTGGTACTGGCATAAGAACAAACACATCAATTAATGGAACAGAATAGAGAATCCAGAAATAAACCCATGTCTCTATGGTCAATTAGTATTTGACAAAGCGGGCAGAAGTATAAAATGGAGTAAAAACAGGCTCTTCAACAAATGGTGTTGAGAGATCTGGACAGCTACATGCAAGAAAATGAAATCTGACCACCAGCTTACAACATACACAAAAATAAACTCAAGATGTATAAAAAACTTAAATATAAGTCACAACACCATAGAAGTCCTAGGGGAGAACATAGGCAGGAAACTCTCAGATATTCCGTGCAGCAATATTTTCACTGATATGTCCCCTAGAGCAAACAAATGGGACTTCATCACAAGTAAGAAGCTTCTGCATGGCTAAAGAAAACATCAGCAAAATGAAAAGGGAACCAACTGTATTGGAAAATATATTTGCCAATGATACCTCGGACAAGGGTTTGATTTCCAAAATATACAAAGAACTCACAAGACTCCATTCCAGGAAGACAAACAATCCAATTAAAAAATAGGCAAACGACCTGAACAGACACCTCCCCAAGGAGAACATACACAGGGCACAGAGACATAGGAAAAGATGCTCAACATCACTAGCCATGAGAGAAATGCAAATTAAAACCACAATGAGATACCACTTCACACTAGTCAGAATGGCCATCATAAACAAAACAACAAACAGGTGCTGGCGAGGTTGTGGGGAAAATGGAACCCTAGTACACTGTTGGTGGGATGTAGGCTGGTGCAGCCACTGTGGAAAACAGTTTGGAATTTCCTCAAAAAGCTAAAAATGGAACTTTTGACCCAGTAATTCCACTGCTGGAATTATACCCTAAGAATCTTGAAACACCAACTCAAAAGAACCTATGCACCCCAATGTTCATAGCAGCACAATTTAAAATAGCCAAGTATCGGAAGCAACCATCAATAAATCGGTGGATAAAAAAACCTATGGTACATTTACACAATGGAAAACGATGCAGCAGAAAGAAAGAAGGAACTCTTACCCTTTGCGACAGCATGGATGAAACTGGAGAGTATTACGCTAAGTGAAATAAGCCAGCCAGTGAAAGACAAATACTATATGATCTCACCTGTAAGTGGAACCTAATCAACAAAACAAACAAGCAAGAAAAATATAACCAGCAACATTGAAAGAAAAAAACAAACCGACAGTAACCAGAGGGGAGAAGGGAGGGGAGGAACGGGGAAAAGAGTGGAAGGGTCAAATGAAGGAACCTGTATAAAGGACCCTTCCCCAAAAAGGGGAAGGATTGAGGGTGGGAGGTAGGGGTGGGTGGGGCAGGGGATAGTGGTGGCAGGAAAATGGAGACAACTGTACTTGAACAATAAAAAAATAAAAACAAAAAGAAAGAAACGTGAAGTGCTTCTTGTAATATGATCCCACTTTTAGTAAAGCAATGACAAAAACCTTCTGATATATGATTATGATATGAGAGCATGGAAGAAACTGGAAAGACATAGAGTACGGCTGTGTATACATTACATTTACCGCACACGGGGAAGGGGAGGAGCACTGGGGGGAGAGTGAGGAAGGTACAGCAAGTAATGAAGGAAAATAAAACAGGACACTAAACACTATTTAAGACATGGTTATATGCATGCGTTTATATTAAATTAGGTAGAAAATTCCAAAAAGAAGTGACACAAAGAGGACTTATGTCAAATCTACATTGAGTGTTGAGAGTGGCCCTTATCTGGTGGCAGCTGGGGTGAACCAGCAAGGGCCTCGGCTGTCCTCCTGTGAGAACCCAAGACACGGGCAAGGAGACACTGTGAGGGCATCTGGGCCACATGCAGCCAGCAGGAGAGCAGAAAAAAGGCACCCAGGATCTCCTTTAAACTCTGGTATTAACAGGAGGACAGACATTTGAGAATTCATGGGAACAGCAGATCAGTAGCTATGGTGGGCAAAGGCCTGGAATAGTGATAAAAGAAGGGCCTGTGGATGCAAGTGAGTATAAACCTGGGTGAGAACATTAGAGAGGACCATGGTCAGATGGGACAGGTGACCGGGAGGCCCACACAAGAGCCCCGAAGGCCTGCCTCATGAATAGGATGCAGCTGGGTCTCCTGAGTTATGGGAAAAGTGAAAGCTGGAAATTAAAGAATGACAAGTATAGGAAAGTTATCAACCAACATACACACTTTTAATTGCAAAAAGTAAAAACTTTGTTACATGAAACTTTAATATACATACATTCTTCACATGGGGGAAGTCTTTACAAGTTCGCAGTACATTAAGTTACAGTCACATTCTGCACTAAACACATATTAACAGCTTAGCTCATTCAGAGCATGTGTGGTTGGGGCAGGTGTCTGTCCTCTGCTCAGTGGGACCACTCAGGCGTCCACGCTGGCAGCTGGCCGGTCCCTGTCTATGATCACAGCAGGGAAGAGGCGGAGTAGAGTTCTTGGCTTACTTGTGCCTCTCCAGTCTTTCCCCTCTCCCCACCCATCCCTGGCCTGTTACTGACCTTCCCGTAGGAGGCAGGAGGAAGAGACCACAGACAGCATTTTTCTGAGGGTGAGACTGTAGAATGAAGTTTGGAGGGAACGTTGCTGATGATGAGACTGGGGGTTCCCTCTTGGAATGCCACGTGTCTGTCTATCCTGTCATCACTTCACAGATAAGCGACCATTTATTTCTGAAAAGGTTGCATGTGCTCCAAAGGGTTGAAGTTTGGAGGCTGGGACACTGCTGAATTGTGAGTTATGGTGGCTTCACAGGACGGCCTCGTCTACCCCGCAGAGTTGTGAGGAGTAATGAGGTAAATTAAGTGTGGCACAAAGTAGATGTCCCCACGTGTCAATTTCTATTTGAAAGTGGAAGTTAGTTTCCCTTCTCTGCGCAGGGCTTGCAGCTGGGGCTCAGTCCTGGATCGATGACAGACACACTAAGTGCAGGAGGAGCAGCCTCCGGGCCAGCCCCACCATGTCTGGACAGTTCCAGGCCTCGGCTTGGAGTTACGTAACATTTCTTCTTTCCACTCCCCTGAAAAGCTCTGGACTCCACGTCTCCAGAGAAAGGAAAATGACAGATGTATTTAGCTCTAATGCTTAAATTATGCAGGGCAGGGAAAGCAGACACTGCGGGATGCGGATAACAAACACACTGGCTGGAGGGTATCCAGCCAAGGCCATCACTTAAAGCCACACTGTGTCCGGGGTGGGTGGACTTGAAGGTGGTGCATGAGAAGGAGCACCCGTCCATCTTCTCTGAGATGCTTCTGTGGAAGAAGCTGCTATCAGGTGAGGCAGCCAGGGACACACATGCCCATGGTGACACAGCACGTTCCCAGAGCCCCCATTTTTCATTTGCTACAGGGCTATCTCCATAAGCACTCACCCTCCTGGCCTCCTGGCCCTGACATGCATCGACTCTGTACACCGTATGTGACGGTCCAGACATGGAGAGGATCTCCACCTATTTCAAAACTCATCTCCGGCACTCCCTTCCTTCAGTGGATTAGTGGGTGATGGGTCATCATTAGAAGTTAGCGAATGTGGAACTTACGAACTTAGGAGAGTTCCTCTTCTATCGCTAGGAGAACTCAAAGCCCAAAAGACCCCTCTGTTTAATAACTGATTCACAAAATGTAGACAAGATCGTCTCTGTCCACGCAACCAGACATGCAGCTTTCTCTCTTTCTCCTAAAACTTGGCTTTTTCTGCTGGGCGAGGATTAGATGAGAAGTGAACATCTACTCTGGGTTTTTAATGTTCACTATGGAAGCCACTAGTTAATGAGCAAACTCATCCAGACTATCTTAAAATGACTGAGGTCATCACCTGCAGCTACGGAGCTTGAGATTTTGTTAAAATAATTGTTCCTGCACTGAGGCCTATGCTGGATTTTTGAAGAAAGGAATAGAAAACGGAGAACTGAAAAACAAGTGATGTAAACTCCAAGGGGACCCACAACTGGAAATGGGCAGAATCCCTCTTCTGGTCACACATCTGGAAACATGGAGTGTCGAGAAAATGGCTGGACACAAGCGTGTTCCAGCCACACGCTCCCTTAGAGGGTCTTCAAAGGGGAGGGAAAAAGTGAGCCTTTCTATAAGAGCCCTCTGGTTAGATTCTCTCCTCCATTTCTGTCCAAAATAGTTTTAAAAACAAATCTTGAAGAGTTCGTGGCTTGCTGACCCTATTCCTAGGCCCTCCTGCCCCAATGAGGGCTCACTGGAGTTGAGCACACCACCTTTGTTCTGGCCACCGCACTGTGCTGAGGCAGCAAAATAATATGCTGAGGAACCAAAAACCTCCCCACCAGCACTTAACTGTTCTAAGCCCAGGTTTCTTTATTTTTAAAATGAGGACCTAATACCTACTTTACAGGACTGAATAAAGATTAAAAGAGACCACGGACTACACAAATGTTATTATTCCTTTCTCTTAAAAAAAAAAAAAAAAGGTAGAGTCGGCCTATTTAGACTGTTTTATATACTGCCAAATAGGTAGATTTTGTTTTCATAAATTATTAAAGTCCTTTCTCCCTTCCCTAAAACAAAAATAGGAATGGAAAAAGGATAAGCCCCCCCCCCCTTTTCTCATAAGCCAGAACAGGTGTGCTGTCCAATACTTGACTCCTGAGACCTCAGGCCATCTGGATGTAAATGCTTCACGTGGTGCCAAAGCTGCCTTTCTCCCCAGAGAGCTGATTTCTGGGGATATGAGTCTGTGCTCTGGCAACCTACAAGAAAGTAAACCTAACCCACATGTGGAAGTCAGGTCATCTCTTAGCAAACACTCCACAAACTTGTGAGCCAAGTCCCTCTTCCTAGAGCCCTGTGGTTTTGTCCTTAGTGTGGCGGTGGAGGTAGGAGCTGGTTAGGTAGTCCCAACATCCCCCCGGCCCTGCCTCATTAGATGACCCTCCTTCCCACACCGGGTCATGTGGAGGGCCTTCTGCTCTTTCCTTGGAGGAGCTGAGAGCGAGGTGAGCAAGGAAAACCAAGGGGCACACGCACACAAAGCCTCGGATAACCAGAGGTTGGCTTGGCACCTGCGAGCCATTCCTGTAGGACTGGTCACTGCAGAATCAGCTTACCAGAGTTAGCATGTGAAGAAGGTAAATTATTTCTATGTATTTAGTAATTAAAAACAGGAAACCCTCTCTGGAGAATTTCTCCTCTAACATAAATCTACATTCAATTCTCAACTGGACAGATTTTAATAAAATGAATAGCACATGCACAGGTCTCTTATCAGCAGCCATACCATTCTTTGTTGACAGGGGCTGAGAGGACTTCCCAGGGGGCGCCTCGGAACATCAACACATGCAAAGGTTTCTTAGTTTTCAAAGTTTTGAACTGAAATTGATATTTTATGAACATTTAAGGTGTGAAGAGCAGCAGTAAAATGGGGAAGGAACGCAAGGTAATTCATAATAATGAAACAGAAATCTTAATGATTAAAACAGTTGCTTTGCTCTTAAGGAAGCCTCTCGTTTTTTAACCCACAGGGCCTAATTTAGGAAAACTGAGTGGCCTCTGAAGAACTTGTTTACAGCCCTGAGCAGTGTGGCTCAGTTGGCTGGTTGCTGTTCTGAAAAGCAAAGGGTGATGGGTTCGATTTCCAATCAGGGCACATGCTTGGGTTGTGGACCTGGATTCATGTGGGTCAGGATTCATGTGAGAGGCAATCTATCCACGTTTCTGTCACACATCGATGTTTCTCTCCCTTTCTTTCTCCCTCTCTTTCCCTCTCTCTAGAGGTAAATAAATAAAATCTTAAAAAAACAGGAACTTGTTTACATATAATCCTTCCTCCCCTTGTGCAGCAGGAATAAGGTTGTGGCAAAGTCCTGAACGCCTGCACAAAGCTGGCCTCTAAGTGATCCCTCTGATTCAAAACCTCCTAAATCATAACTGCTTAGCAAGCGTGACTCTTATGTGCACAAAAAGTTTTTGCTGCATTAATCAACACAAGGCGCTGATGTTTTCACGGAATAATTCCCTCAGGTACAGCTCATCCTGGTTTCATTCAAGCCTGCGGAGGAGGCTCTGAGTGTTTCCACCCTGAGCTTTGTGAACCCTGCTTGTCCTTTACAGGCCCATAAACATGTGGTTCAAGTGCTTAGTGTTCCCCACTGCTGCCCAGGAGATGCAAAGAGAGAAAGGGCCTGGGGACAGAGGCAGGGGTGCTCCCAAGATGAAGAGGATCCTGCAAGGAGTCACACCCACTTCCCTCTCTGCCGTCCACCCCTGGTCCGTAACTCTGACACCTCCTGTATCCATTCAATCGCTGCCATTCAGAAGTAGGGGCCACAGTGTGCTTCGTTTTTTCTTCATCTTGATGACAGCATGACCAGAGGCCAGGTACCTAGCAGTAATCAATAAAGGAAAAAAAGAAAACAAGAAAAGAGCATCCTAATTTACATGATTTGATTAACACACTAAAAGCACTTCAGGGAAACACTGAGCATAGTGAACTACCCAATCAAAAGAATACAGCTTTATATTGTTACAAAAAATAAAAACCTCACCTTTTTTCCCATACAAAGAGAGAGATCATTGTAAGACAGAGGATCGCATAGTTACACACCCAGCTGGCAAACACTTGGGGTCTGGAGTTCCTTCCCCAACCACATTACATCAGCCTGACACATCTGTAAAACATCTTCCCTCCACAAAGTCAGACCCTAAAGATCAAACCAGGGAGGCACCCTCTCCCAGGCCAGCATCTAACTCATCCCCCTCTGAAGACACTTGGTAAAAGCAACACAGTTAACAGAATGACAATGCCTCAGCTGCAAAGGGCCCTGGCCCAGCCAAGGGAGAAGGACCAGGAGTCTAAGTGCCCAGAAACGAGCCAGAGAGCCAAGGGAGACGGGAAGGAGTTCAGACTGGCAGGGGTTGGGGCGGGGGAGGCAAAAGAACCAAAAGGTAAAATGGAGAAAGGCATTACTTTAGGAGTAACATCTCAATTATAATCAGACCCCAGCCTGGCATCACTGAGACTCTGAGAGCCATGGATGCTGCGAAAGAAGTTCACTTCTTGAGTGCAATTTGAGGTTATCTGATCTTTGTTTCAGTGGTTCCAGATCCCATTCTGTTTGGGAAACGACAATGACTTCTTTAATCAGCAGTCGTAGCTTTCCTAAAAAAGTGCAGGGTGGTGTGGCCAGGAAGACGGGACACGGAGACCCATCTGCTGAAGGATGGCTCTGAAGTCAGGACCAGCTGGTTGCCTTCTCTGTGACCAGGGGACCAGCAGAGGGGATCATGCCTTGCAAGTGAGGGAAGGCACCATCCTGCTCCCTGACTGAAGGGCGGCCTCAAGGCTGTGAGGCCAAAAGACCTGGAGGAGCGCAGTCTCTCACAGACAGGTGTTGGCAAAGTCCTGGCCCAGAGGCTGGAGGGCTGGGCTCCGGCCCTGGGCTCCGGCACACAACTGGCTCACATACGCATGCACAGGGCAGGGAACTGAGTAACCAACCCCTGCAAAGTGGTTTCATTGTTTTATTTCCTCCTTTCAATCTGGTCTTCAGTTTTCAAAGCTGTTCCTCTACACAGTCCTGTCTCCTACTCTTCTGAGAGGGTGGTTGCATCGCAGATGACCAAAGGCTGGACCCCTCTGGCTACAATGTAGACCTTCCAGTGGACAGCACCAGCATAACCTTGAAGGGAAACAGCAACAGGAAAGCATGTGAACGTCAGGGACCAGGCACACCTGTGGGCATGAGCAAGCCCGGTCTGCCAGAGTCACCCTCAGGGCACATCTGCAAAGTCAGGCAAATCTTGCTCTGAAGGTCTTTAGCTCTTTCTTGCATAAATATTCCCAGTTATTATCAGTCTTCTCTGTAACCTGACACCCAACAGAAACCACTTTGAACCAAAATGCTTCATCACCGACCCACACCTGGGTCACTATCAATTACAATTCAGCGGGTTTACAAAGGCAGGATGCTCTAGATAACCTGGTGTTGGGCATCTATTCTCAGACTGATCTCATCTTTTTCAGCAAGAAGACAGGTTGAGTACTAGTGCATGGGGAGGACCCCTATCCAATTTCCCTGAGGTTATCTACAACACGGCCTCATTGCAAAACATCCAGATTGACCAAACCCCCCATTTCCCAAACTGTGTTATGTAAACAACATCCTGTAAGATAGTCCGAGGAAAATGGGTTCCATGGCCAAGTAAGTTTAGAGGAACACTAGGTCTTCTGAGGCTTTTCAGAGCCTTTTGTACACTAATGTACACTATGTATCGGTAAGGCAAGTGTGTCCCAAAGTCAATTGACCCAAGGAGCCCTGTTTGCCGAAGAGCTCCTGTTCCCGCCTCCGGCGTCATGCATGATCTGAAGACCTGTTTAGGAAAGACTGTCTGTATCATTTAAATGGGCTAAAACCTTTAGCACTTCAATAATCTCTTGATGGAAATTTTTCTAGGGTATGATACATCCTATTCGTCTTTAAATGGAGAGCACTGAACAGAATTTAGCCTCTACCTGGTGACTCAAGAAAGGTCACTACGAGCAGTGACTGCACAGTTTCGGCAGCTGTGAGGGCTCACCAGCGCCTGGTCGATCATCACTCTTGAAAATGCCCCCTATCACAGGTTTGTGGTGGTCTGTAACCTTGTCTCCTTCCCCTCAAACTTCACAGGGCAATGCTTATTTTGTCAAAAAATAAAGAACTTGCTTGCACACTGCCATTCTTAAGGGTCCCTGAGATGCTCAAGATGCCATGAGTCCGTAACCACTGAACGGCTCTCCTCCGCTGTCGGGTCTGCTTTCCTGTCCGTGTTTGTAACTGAGGCAGCCGCAGCCATCGCCTCTGTTCCTGCAACTGCTCAGGTGCCCACTGTTCTCCCCTGTCCTTCCCCTGGACTTGCCCTCTTCCTCTCGTTCTCTTCTGCCTCCTGTCCCTTCTCTACATTCCTGTCACATGGTTGGCCTTTCGTGGACACTGCCAACCACAGGGCTCCTTTCCTTCTGGTCTGCAGGCTGGCCAGTCAGAGCACGGCTCTGGAGTTTTAGGCTGTTCTGGACTATCCCCACTGGACTTTGATGCTCAAAGCTTCTCTGATCACAGCCAGTCACTCATTTTTTTCTTTTCCTCTAATTCTATAATTGGCATTCTAGATGCTTGTGGGAGCTGGAAAATAGGAATTTGGGTAACTAAGGCGTTTCTGTAGTTGTCCGAACTGTCAGGCATTTGTAGAACACAAGACAGAAACTTCTTCATGTGCAACTACATACTTCCAACCCCAAATGCCGCACAGGCTTGTGTAGCAGTCACAGCTCACTGAAGGGTGACTCCACTACAGAAAAATAGGTTCAGAACAATTTCTACACAAGAATCTCCTTTTATGCATTAATTCCCAAGAGCCAGGCCAGCTGTGCTCCATTATCAGTCAATGCTTACTTTGTGCATTTTTATTTTTTCATTTCTAAACTGAAATAAAAGTTATGTAACTTGGATTAAACCCTGGCACAGTTTGTGGTCTGCACCCTCCTTCCAAATGAGGTGAGAGGTTTCTAGGGATTGGGGTTTTCTGGATAGGTAAATTAAAAGAAGTTAAATGGAAAATCAGTCTGGGCTCTGCCAGGGACTCCAGGCAGGAAAAACAAGGAGGGCAATGGTAAGGCTTGCTAATTTATTTGTTCTGCCAAGAAAACTCTGAGTCAAACTGATTGCTACTGACAGCAGTTGACTGAAAGCTCTTTCTCTGGAACAGATTTTTAGAACATAATGCACAGAACAAGTCAGAGTTGGGAAATCATGGAGCCAAGGGTGAGTTATGACTGAGACTGTGACTTGGCTGTGGGACCCACACGGAAGGTAGCTATTTCCTTGTGTGGCTGGTGCCCATACATGCTGCTTGCATTGTTTTATTAGAAAAATGAATTTCTTCAAATCTAGAATTGTACCTCCCCTGGTTTGACTCTGTTAAACTAGACACTTAAGACTTGAAGCTTTGCTTAACACATGGTAGGGTCTTGGAATGGTCACCTCTCCTTTCTGGGTCTTAATCTCATCATTTTTAAAATAAAGGATTGCTCTAAATATCTTCCGTAATCCTAACTTGGACCCACATGTTCTAAATGTTTATACAACAAGACATTTTCCGCTGCCCCACTTTCTCATTTGTTGTTCCATGTAAGCATAAATATTGACTCTAATTAAAAAATGATATTTTTGACTCTACTTAACTGATCTTTGGGAAGGACGTATTTAATTCTTACAATATTTTTGAGTAAAGAATAAAAAGACCCGGGGGCTGACCTTGCCCTCCTGGGCCCCACCTACCGATATCCCCTGGCTCTAGTGGCATTGCCATGGAATGGCAGTGTCTTCGGCACTGGGAGGGGGGGATGAGCTGCAACATGGCTTCACCACTGCCAATGGTAAACAGGTCATGCATCCTATACATCTGGAGGAAAAAATGGGGGGGGGGGGGGGAGAAAAAAAAAGGAAAAGAAAACAATAAAACCCAGGGGTGTGGGAAATTAATATACAAAAATCCATACACATGTAGCTCTGAGTTTCCTAGGAGCCTAAGCAAAAAGGAAAATAGAACCAATAACACAATTCACAATTATGTCCAAAAGACAAAAACGAGTTAGTTTCTCCAAAGCATGGCTCATCTCCCAGTATTGAGAGCAGAGTAAAAATCTCTTGTAATAGCTCCTAACAAGACACTGTGATTTAGTGGATGACATCCTCGACAACAGCCCTGTGGTAGAAAATGCACGAACTTCATACTTCACAACTATTTCTAGCCACTGCTTCAAAGTAGGCCAAAGGCAAAATATCTCATTGCAACTTAACAAAAGTCTAGCAAAGGCCAACACACGTTGGTCTAAGAATGCAGTCTTCCAAGGTCTGATTTGATTCAGACTTTTAAACTAACAGATGTCTACATATCCTTTGGGCAGTGTTCCATGGAATATTCTTTCTTACTGCCAGAGTTTTGATAAGAATTGAACAGAGGCAAGGTCAGGTTTACACTTTCTGGCAAGACTCAGGTGAGCAGATATGTCGTCATGCTACTGATTAACAGCTCATGATTGCAGGGTTGGCCTCTGATTTTGAACATTAAGGAGACAACCAGGGTACGCACCTGCGGAGGCAACCACTGCACTTCTGAGGGAGTACTACTGCCACCCACAGGCATGAAGGGCAAGTGCTGTGTGCCAGGCACAGCTGTGAACCCTGGCATTGGGCTGGGACAGGGAGAAAGGATAAAGACACAGGTTGATTTTGCTCAGGCTTCTCTTCCTTCCTAGTTAGAGAGAACCCACAGGCCTCCCTCTCAGGCTCTGCCCTTCCGGCAAACCCTTTATGTGCCCACATAAAGCAGGGATCAGAAATCTGACTCCCTGGGCCACATCCTGGTTTTCTCTTCACTACTTGGGGCCTCGAGAGTCTTGGGTTCTGGCTCCATCTTTTCCTGTCCGGAACCCTGGTCTCCCTGTTGCTCCCACAGGCTCTGGCCATGACTCTGATTCCATGGCCACACGAGAGCCATTTCAACTGTTGCTGCAGTGATCGGAAGAGGACTGGGGAGGACTGGTGTCTTGAACTGCCTGCAACTGACTGGTACCAGCAGAAGTCCAGATATCTGCAGTCTTGAAAAAAATTCCAGAAGACCAAAACCAAGTTAGTTCTTTTCACATAAGCCTGATGGGGGAAGGGCTATGTTCCTCCATACCAAGGATGGAAAGAAACAAACGTCATGAGGGAGCAGGCCAGCCATAGGCAACAATGTGGAGTGGGTGAAGTGGGCCTTGGAGCCCCTCGCCTCTTCCCCCAGTGCCTCTTAATAACTGAATCCCCACTTCTGTAGCCCAACGCTGCCTCTTGGATCCTGAGCCCCTAGACTTGTGACTTTACCAGAGTCCAGGGCCCAGAAACATAGATAACAGGGTGGAGTAACACAGCCGTGGAGAGCTTGGACAAGGGAGGAAAACAGATGCTCTAAAAAACCAGATTCTCAGGATTTCTGCCTGTTTGGGCCACTCCCCTTCCCAAAACAGTTTGAGAACCACAACAAGATGACTTCGATAAGCATCTGAGTAACTTTGTATTTACCCCTTTGGCTGAGCTCCTTGATGTACCTGTTAAGCAGACTGGTGAAACTAACTTCAGATTCAAGTGGGAAAATTAAGATAAAGGCCCTCACCCAGAGTTATATTATAATTATGAAGATGAAATCATACTAGGGCCCCGGGTCCTAGCCAGGGACAGCAGGATAAACTTCTTTAAAATCTGAGGAAGAGCCCAGCACCTCCACCCTGCTGCTGGCAGACAGTTCTTAGTTCTAGACAAAATTGTTTTTCTAGGCTTTAAAATTCCATTAACATGATTCAGCAAATTTGACGCCAATAGTATCAGGAGGTTGAAGACACACCCAGAGTTGGTAGGGGCCACAAGTCTGGGAAATTTAATTTTTTACAAAGTAAAAATTCCTGTTCTTAATTCTTTCAAACCGATCTAGGCTCAAAAACTTTCCTCAGGAACGAGACTCAACAAAAGAGCAATTCAGAAAAAAGTAAGCACACACAAACACAGAAAAGCTTTGCTGAGTCCACTGGCTGCAGAGAAGTAAAATGCAGGCTCTGGGTCCTTGGCCCCAGGCTTCTGTGAAGAGCACAGCCACCTACACTGGGCTGCCTGCCTCAGGCACGTGCCTGGCAGCCCGTTAGTCCCAAAACCTCTCCATGCTCTCAAGCCTTTGCTTTTCCAACTGCCTACCTGAAGTTCCTCATTTATTTCTGGGGAATAAATTTATTTCGGGAGTGAGGATAGGGGAGAGCCCTCCTATTGACTTGCCGTGTCACTGGGTAAATAAATCATTTAATCTGTCTGGGACTCAGTTTCCTCATCTACAAAATGAGTAAATTGGACTATTCATTTACATACCATTCATTTATAGCTTGCAAGCTTTCTACTTTGAAGGAGAGAAGTCAGACTAACTGCTTGCTCAGGTCCCTTCAAAATTTAGGATTCTACACACTTGAATGGAGAAAAGCGGCTTGCAGGAGGCAGGCTGACAAGGTAACTAGACTCTCCGCAGGCATACCTTCCTAAAGGAGTCAGGCCCCTGCAGGTCTCCCCGCTAGCAAGAGGAGGAAACTTAGATTATGTGGGTGTCCCTTCAATTCACCCTCTGAGTTGATGTGCAGGGAAGGCCTTGATTATGACATTGGCCAAGGTCCCAGATGAGGAAAATTCTGGATTGTAGTCCTTTTGAAATTTCCTACCTTAGTCCCCACGAGAGGTATTGCTTGAAGAAAGAAGCACTTTTTCAAGGAGGCATCTTTTGGAAATGGGAGGTACGTGAAAACAGGGAAAAGCTCACGTAAAATGTGTGATCTGTTCAGAGGTCTTGTCCTACAAAGGTTTGAAAGAGAAAAAAGTATTTAAACTGGGCAAGCCAGCCACCATAGCTAACAGAGCTGAGCAAGGATGGGAAAGCTGTGGGTGGTGGGGAAAGACAGAAAAATATCAGGACAATATCTTAAGTATTAGGTCCATGAAGAATAGTCACACCAGATCCATTAATTGTAACATAAACTCTTTAGCCAAGATTTGTCCATGTGGGTGGGTGTTTATAAAGTCCAGCTAAAACAACATATAGAGGAAGGAAAGAAACAATTCATTCATTCTGTCTTGGAAAAAAGACTGAAGTAATAACAAGCCAAGTGGAAGAAGATACAAAGGGAAGAGGAGGCAGTAAAAATCATGAACCTTCTTCTGAGACAGAGCAACATGCAGTGGCAAGCCTGACTAGCTTGTTAAACTGAGTTATCTGACCATAAAAAGAAATAGCCAATTTAAAGGAAGGCCGAAGCATCAAGTAGTTATCCAACAAAAAACCTGAAAGAGCGAGTTTTAAATTCTCTTTTGGGATGGTCCTAGGTAGAAATCGGCTTTCCTTTTCTTTCTAAAGAACACCCCCAAAAAATGGACCATGTCTTCTATAGGATATGGACATGAACAGGTAGACAAACTTGAGTTTCAACCCTGGCTGGGTGACATTAAACAAGGTACTTAACCTCTCTGATTCCCATTTTTCTGATCTGAAAAGTGACAGTCATAATTCCTATTTTCCAGAGCTTTCCTGAGCATCATCACTAAGCAACAGACATTAAGCACCAACGCGTGTTGCTTGGCACAAACAAGTGCAAGGAAATTAAGTCTTCCATTCTTCATGCTCTCTCATCAGCTCTCAACACGCAGGACGCGTGCTGCATAAACATAAATGCTAAACACATACTTAGAAATAAATTATAACTCTATTAGGCGATCTTGGCATCCACTCATGGTGGCACTCCTCTTGACACAACTCTTCCACTTGTCCCTTTATCTCTCTCATCATTGGCAGGTCCACAGTGAGCTCCTGAGTATCATTTGACTTGAAAGGTAGACTGAAAAGTGCCTGCACAGTGCTGGGCACAGTTTTGACATTTGGTCTGCCCCTTTCTATACACACACACAGGTTACAGCCTCTTTTCACTCACCATGGATAAGGAAATGGGAACCACCGCTGAGGAAAGCAGCGCCACCACTTGGTGAAAACCCCTTCTGTGAAGCCTTCTGTCACCTCAGGGTACTGGCACAAAAAATGCTGAAGCTCCTCAGACAACAGGGGCCTTTCAGTCTTGACTCAGAAGAAAATAAAAACAATGCAAAACAACAAAGAATTACTTATCAGGAATGTCATAGAGCTGGATAGTTTCTAGCCATTAAACGGGTTGTCAGCCCTGGCTGGTGTGGCTCAATTGGTTGGAGAGCTGCCCATAGATCACAAGGTCGGGGTTTCAGTTCTGCGGCAGAGCACAGACCCAGGTGGTGGGTTTGATCCCTGATAGGGATGCATACAAGAGGGAAACCAACAATTAATGTTTCTCTCTCTCTCTCTGTCCTTCTTCTCCTACCCCTCGCTAAAAGCAATGAAAAAAACCAAAAACAAACAAACAAACAAACAAACCAGTGAGGATAAATGGGTAATCAGTCTGTGGGAGAATTGGGCTTCTTGCTCACCTTGATCACCAGAGGATGGAGTCTCTCAAATGTCTTTGGGGCATCTTCCAGGAGCATTACCCTCAGAGGTAATTTCTGGGCACAACCAGTGCAGTTGTCAGGGATGAGGTCCGACTCATTCTGCTCACGGTCATTTATCCACCAGGGGTCAATATCTGAGAGAGGGAGGGATACAAAGGAAGCAGATGCAGAAAGAACAGAGAGAGTAAATTCAATAGTCCTGGCAATGAAGTAGAAAGGAAAGATATAATAATAATTTTAAAAGCGAACAATGACAAGCACTGGTGACCTATGAAAAGGTACATATGTAATAAGTAGCCTCTGAGGAGGGAGCAGAGCGTGCAGGGGACAGGGTAGGAAAAAGAGGTACTTCTCTCTGTAGACTCTTCTACACTTTATGGAAAATATTTTTTACCATGTACATGCATCTCCTAAGTCAAGGCAACAAATAAAGTCAAACAGTTGGAGAAGCTATTCAGTGACCTGGGGTTGGAGATGTAGTTCTTCCACCGTTTTCTAACCTGTGACCCACACACCTGAACAGTCTACAGCATATGGGGGAGGGGCAGGGAGAAAGGGGGGTGCCGCCATCAGTGACGAGTCCCACTGCGCATCTTTTCCAGCACTTGGGGTAAGGGCCTAGATCCTAGGGTCACAAGCCCAAGTGGAGGCCAGGGTGACTCTGGGAAGGAAGAGTGAGAAAAGGGTGCAGAGAGAAAGGATGGAGAGTAGACAGGACTTTTCAGGGGCTCATCTTTGGAGTAAAATGAATTGTATCCACCCATTAGACTGTGCTGTATCCCAGCTCAGAAGGTGGCAGGGGCTACTGGCCATGGTTTCTATCCCCAAGAACTGCAGGCTGGTCAGAAAAGGAAGAATGCCCCCTCAGACCCTGAAGTGAGTACTGGCCAGCTCCCCGACACCTTTCCCTCATTGGTCCCTGTCTGAGGGGTTGAATCTGTTTCTGTGCAGCCCTTCTCTGTTTCCCCCTATTCCTTCCCCCTGGTATATTCTGTTTATAACGTTACTGTACTATTTCTTACTTGCTTTTTGTTCCATTCTGGGTTTTATGTGTGTTCTGGGTTAGATACGTGTTTGTGATAAACTCTAATTTGAATCCTAAGTGTTTCACCGGATGGTTTCTCATTAAAACCCAATGGAAACCAAATCAGAAGAGAGCCTAGAACAAAAGAAAACAGACAACCAAATGTGGCTAAAACGTGAGGTCAATCCTGTAAATCAACAAACACACTTGGAAACTGACTCTCAACCACAAAATATTTACTGTAGTTGGCAGCAAGCGCTTCTTCCTAGTTTTCTTACAGCACCATTAGGGTGGAGAGAATCCAATCAAGGAAAGCCTGTTTGTTCTGAGCAAGTCTCCTAAGCTCCCTCCATTTCTGGCAGATAGAACCTGTGTTTCCTTGAGGAAGCTGCCACCTACTTCTCACCTGTCTCGGCCGGTGGGTAGGTAGATCAACCACCCGAGGCCCACTGTACCCTTACCTGAGAAGGCCCTCTGTCCCACACTGCTCACCATGAGCCCCCGGGGGAAGCAGAAAATCCTTCAGTGGCACCTGTTCAGTGGCACTCTGAGGCTGCAAAGCTATACCTTTTTTTTCTTAAGTATTTTTAAATGTTCCTTATTAGAGGCCAAATATGATGAATCCTTGCCAAAATACAAGAACTCTGGGTAATGGACATACAATGAGGCATACATAATCATAACAACGTTATAATTATACAGCATTTCAGTTTCCAAAGTATTTGTGAGGGAAGAAGGAGAAAGGGAACACATGTGCTAAGGGCCAGGCCCCACGCTAGTCATTTTCATGTGCTCTACAGTTTACTTTTTACCATATAATTATTGAGGAGGCATCACTACTCTCATTTTACAGATAAGCAAACTGAGAGTGAGAGGCAATAGGAATTACCAAGGCAACAGAGCGTGGCGGGTAAGAGCACAAAGGACTTGGGGCAGTTTTGTAGGGCAAGGGAGGGAGGGGGACGTCGCTGATGGTGCTAATAAGGGCCTCAAGGGCTCGGAGCACTTACAACTCTACTGAGAGCAAAACAAGGAATCATCAAGGGCCTTTGAGTAGGGATTTCATGATGCTTCAGGAAGGTTGTTCTGGGTTGTGACTAGGTGTCCTAGAGAGAGAAGCTGGGAAGAAGGCCTGGTTGTATTTTGGTTTTGTCCTTTTTTTCGCGGGCGAGGAGAGGACTGTATTGTGATGAGAGGTGAGATATAATGAGAGTCTAAACTGAGGCAGAGGGCTTGGGAAGAAAGAGGTGATTCCAGGGGCAGCGATGGCACAATCTAGAGACCTCAGCAGCACTTCCAAGAACGTCTGCTTGGCTGACGTTGCCAGGGCTCCTCACCCAAGGGAGCACTAACAAAGAAGACAGAATACCTGAAGATGTGTCATGGCATTCTGGGCAGGAGGAGGGCACGACTGGAGGGAAAGAGCATTGTTTTGCTTTCTCTGTGTAGATATTGCATGGAAAAAACCCAGCTTTATTGAGATTAATTCACACACCATAAAATGCATTCCAAGTGCACAATTCAGCGGTTTTTAGTATATTCATAGTGTATAACTAGGACCATAATCTAAGTTGAAAACATTTTTATCACTCTAAAAAGAAACTCTGGGCCTATTAGCAGCCCCTTCCCATTCCAACCCCTCTCCCACCAGCCCTGAGCATGCATTGCCTATTCTGGTATTTCATATAAATGGAATCATACAATATAGGGTCTTTTGTGTCTGACTTTTTAAACTTAGAATGTTTTGGGTTCATCCATGTTATAGCATGTATCAGCTCTTCATTTCTATTATAACTAAGTTCAATGTTTATGAATTAATAATATTCATTTCTATTGCCAAGTAACATTCCATTATATGGATATACTCCATTTTCTTTATTCATTCATAAGTTGCTGGGTATTTGGGTTGTTTCTAACTTTGGGGCTATTCTAAATAATGCTACCAAAAACATTTGTGTGCAAGTTTTTGGGTGGGCATGTTTTCAGTTCTCTCGTGTACATACCTAGGAGTGGAATTACTAGGTCATTTGCTAACTCTGTTTAACTTTTTGAGGACCTGCCAAACTGTGTTCCAAAGCAGCTGTGCTATTTTACATTCCCATCAACAACGGATGAAGGTTCCAATTTTTCTACATCCTTGTCAACACTTCTTATTGTCTATCTTTTTATTATAGCCATCATCATGGGTTTGAAGTGGCTTCTCACTGTGGTTTTGATTTACATTTCCTTGCTGGCTAATGATGTTGAGCATCTTTTCATATGCATATTAGTTATGTTTTTTGGAGAAATGTCTATTTAAATCTTTTGCTTATTGTTAACTGTATTATTTTGTCTTTTTATTATTGAATCATAAGAGTTGTAGACAACAAATTCTTTTTTTGTTTTTTTAATTTATTTATTTTTAAATATTTAATCATGTTTATTCTATTACAGTTGTGTCAATTTTTCCCCCTCTGCCCCCTCCACCCATCCCACCCCAATCCCCCGCTCCCACAGTCAATTCCCACTCTGTTGTCCATGTCCATGGGCCATTCATACATTTTCTTTGTTTAGTCCCTTCCCCTTCTTTCCACCATTGTGTTGAAAAACAAAAAATTATGAGGGAATGGGTTTACCAGATGTAAAAATACAGCAACATTCTATAAGCTATTATAATTAAAATAGTTATTTAGAGTCAATCCTCAGTATTCACAGATTCCTATCGCCTACTCCCTAAAATGTATCTGTAACCCCAAAGCAATACTCCAGTGGCTTGAGAGTCATCCACATAGGTGCAGAGCAGCAAATCCCAGCAGAGGCAGAAGCAGGCCATGTACTGCCTTCTGTTCCACCTCTCCCATTATAAACAAGTGTCCTTTTCACTATCTATTTAGTGCCACATTTTCTGCATTTTTGTCAGTGATTTTGCTGTTTCAAATGCCTGTGCATTTGTGGGAAAGAGGGAATATTAGGGGAACTCTTTGTACTTCTGGCTCAATTTTGCTATGAACCTAAAACTGTCTAAGAAATAATTTGTAACAATAATAATAATATAAAAAAATGGTCCCTGATCCAAGTGCTACAGTACTGCCAAGTGTCCCTAAATACAAGGCTGTGTTGTGCCTTACAGAGAAACATGCAAGTGTTAGATGAACTTTGTTCAGGCATGAGTTGTAGTGCTGTTGACTGAGTTCAATGTTGATGAATCAATAATATAAAATATTATATTATATTTTATATAAATCAGGTGTCTTTAAACAGAAACATACATAAAACAGGGTCATGTACTGATCAGTTGATGATGATGTGGCCAGAGGCTCTCAGGAACCTAACTCTATTTCCCCAAGGGGCAATGGGTGAGCATTCACTAATTCAGTATTTGCATGGACTTTACAGAACATAACTACAGCAAATAATTGAGAACCGACTGTAGGTTCTTATAAAGGAACAGACAAAAAGCTTAATAAAACAGAATAAAGGATGTGGCAAGAGATTCAGAATACTAGCATATAAATGAATATATAATTCATGATAAAGGTGAATCTTAATTCACTGAAGGATGGATGGATTCAATAAATTATATTGGGACAAGTAGCCATCTATTTGGAAGAAAATAAAGCTTAATCTTTACCTTCCACTATACAATGAAATAAATTCTAGATAAATTAAAGATATAAATGGAGAAAACAAAATTTTAAAATAAAATAATTAGAAAATATGGTATGATATTTATAATTTGGGGAGCAAAAAAGGCTTAAGTAAGGCATAAACCAAGATGCCATAGAAAAACAAAATGAATGGATTCAACCAGTATTTGCATATAAGAGGCAAAGAATTAATATATCTAATATATAATGAACTCCTATTTGATAAAACAAATTTTAAATGGGAAAAGAATGTGAACGCATAAGCCATAGAAAAATAATTATAAAGACCTATAAATATATAAAAAGACATCCAACACCTCTAATAATCAAAGAAATGCAACTTAAAGTTAGATACCATTCTTCAGTTTTCTAATTGGCAAAACAATGACAATATCTAGTGTTGATGATCAACATATACAAGTTTATGAAGACAGTTTGGTAGTTAGTATTTATTTATTTTTATAGAGGGGAAGGGAGGGAGAGA